AAATATTTTACTACAACCTGAATTATGTGTTGAGTACTCTTATAATTTCGTGATTTTACATTGTCCAATAGGCATTGTGTCGCGCGAAGCAGATCTGTTTGCTGATGAAATTTTTCATTATGAAAAACGCATTGTTAGTCATATCGATTCGGTAAAACAATCCGATGAGACTAAATTGAATGAAATAAAAACTTTAGCTGAAATGAAAACAATAGCACCATCTGTAAGTATTTTGCAATTTTACGACATACAATTAGAAAAAAAAAAATATTGATCTTTATAAATATTGTAGGTATGTATTTACTATTATTTTTGTATTTTATTCTATAGTTGCCAATAATGGAGTCACTTCAAGCGATTTTTAGTCATACAAAAATTAGCGACGAAACTGAAATTCTAGTCCGTGACGTTAACGTCTTCAGCGAACTGTCCACTGTGGTATCTACTTCTGATAAGAAGTAAGTAAGGGAACAAATAATGAAGTTTTCAAATTCGGAATGGGAGGTTTGACATTTTTTAGTTTGAAGGGCGTTGGTAACGCGTAGTGTACTTTTTTTAGGGATGTGAATGATCAATAAGGTATAAATTTTGAACGGGTGAAAATTTTTCTTCGCGTTTTTTTTTTGTGTTTGTTAAGTAGAAAATTGTCTATTGATAGCCTTAACAAAAAATTTAAATATGCTCCAATTTTACCTTGAAAAATTACCCCAAATTTAAGCAATAAAACAAAGTTTTTTTACATTAGAAAAAAAGACATATTCCTTTTTTATTTTTTGTATTGGAGGAGACTAATGTAATTATTAATAGCTGTAAAAACAATCATAAAAATCGACTTTGTAAACTGACCAGAAGGAGAATTTAACACCATACGATTTTCATTTAAACTTCAAGATCTTCGAAAATTTAATTTTTGTTTTTTGGATTGCAAAGCTTTATGTGGCTAACGTCAATTTAATGAAAATTATCGATAAAATTAAAATTTATAATTATTTTTTTAAATTTTATCATGTCAAGTCAACCACAAATTGGTTAGAAGATATGTTTATTCATATTAAAGTTGAGGAAAAATTTAAAATTTTTCCTTATTTTTTTGCCCAACCTGAAATTTTTGCAACTATAAGTGACAATACAAAAATATTAATTTTTTAATTTGACTTTGAAAAAAAAAAGTGGTTAAAAAATATTTATACCAAAATATCTCCAAGATCTGCCGCAACTTCTTTTTCCGTTTTTTGTTTTTACATTGTGGCGAAAGGATGTGATTAGAGGATCGGAAGGCATCAACAACATTTTCATTAAATCAGCATTTTAGTCTCTCCTGTTGCATTTTCTAGTTTGAACAATTCTCACAGATACGTGTTTTATTTTTTCAACGCAAAGTTAAACATTTTTTTGTCTATAATTATAATATTTTTTGACTTTAAAGCATACATAAAAACCCGCCCTTTCCCGCAGTTGTTTTATGTATGCAATTATTTTGCATAATTCAAAGTAGACGCCTGCATAAATAACTTTTTGGGCTAGTTCTGGTTGAGTTTCTAAAAGCTTAGGTAAAGGTAACAAATGTAGCATATAAACCTTTTACTATCAACACCATACTGAATGAACTTAGAATCTAAGTCTTAGATTAATACAAATTTAAGAAAAAGCTTATATTAAATAAACGATTAATGTATCTTTCAAACAAAAGCAAAATTTGTAAAATATCTTATGCCGTTTATGAACACTACGTCTCCAAAGTTGAAAAATGTTCATCACCGTTTTTTTAGTTTGACTGAATTTAGCTCAGTTTTAAATCAACTATCTTTCGAACCAAAGTAAACAGAGCAAAATCGAAACCAGATTTGGAAAATTCAGAGTTTCTTATAATTAGGTCATTATCACAATTAAAAATATTTCACCTTGTTTTATGTTTTTTTGCCTATTTTTGATCACTCACACCCCCAAATAGTGTACCGTGCAGCGTACATGTATTTTAATTGATGATGCTTTGACTTAATTCAATTTTGATGCTGTGACCTTTTAGTTCGCTTTCATATACATACTATACATACATACATACATATGTACAACATCTGGGTGTACATTAGGGTTGTCCAAAACAAAGTAAAGTCGGAATTTTAATGTTCTCACCCCCGAAAAAATTGTACCCGTTTTTTATTTAGATTAAAAAAAATATTTAGTTTTCCATAGAAATGGCATATGATTCTTGAAAATTAGTATTTTTTGCTCGGAAAACTGTGTTTCTCTTCAGGAGACTTCCATTCAAAAAATACCCAATTGTTTACTTAATCCTTTTTTTAATACTAGCGATTTTTCGTGTCCTAAAAACATCAAGAAATGCGACGTGGGAGCCCATAAAAAATCGCTAGTATTAAAAATGATGAAATAAGTAGTGGAAGTATCCTGAAGAGAAGCAAAGTTTTCCGAGCAAAAAATATTAATTTTCAAGAATCATATGCCATTTCTATGTAAAACTTTGAACTCTTTGAGCGACCTCTAAATATTTTTTGATTTCAAAATGAAAAATAGGGATATAATTTTTTTTCCTTTTTCACAATCCTAAGGGGTGAATATTAAATTCCGACTTTACCATTTTACATGCATTTTTGGACAACCCTAGTGTACATACATATGTAAAAAGTACATACATATGTAAAAAGTAGTTTTTACCTTTATTAGCCTAAACTTCTCAAATTCCACAATCTTTGTTTGCTTTTTTTCATTACTGACCTGAATGAAGAAGTAAAGGCATTTAATAATATTATGCAATATTTTAGACCAATTAACAATTTCATAATCTGGTCGTTGGCACGCCATCTGCTGCCACATTTGTCGCGGGAATACCGAAATTTGGTGGAGAACTTTGATCACGCCATCTACGGTGAGTTTGCTTTGCTTGAGTAGTTTATTCGTTTTCATATTTCCAAGGTTTTTTTCGTTTACCTTTGTTTATTTATATTTATTAAAATATTAATTTAAAGGTCGCACAGCTACGTATCCACGCTGGATGATTTGTTCACAAATAGTACGCGATTGGTTGCCATTTGCTGTTGATGCTCTGCAGCAGCAACAGAATACAGAGCAATCGAAGGTTGGTTCCAAAATGTCTTCCACACTTATTTAAATAACAAATCAGACTACACTTTCATTATGTATTTTGATGCGCTGAACAAGAATATGAAATCCATTTTGCTTCACCACGTCAGGATTTTTTTCGAGCTTCAAAAAGCGTGCCTGTCACTTAATATCCGAAATGTTTTTTAGGGTAAGCAAAAAATCCTGACGTTATGGAGTAAAAGGGACTTAAGATTTGTGTTCAGGTCACCATGGTGGCTGTCTAATTTTACTAAACTACAACAAATATTTTCTAAAAAAAAAACTTTCTAAAAAAATATATATATATATAAAAATATGTATACCATTTATTGTATAGTCCAAACGATATGCCACCCAAGACTACAAGCATGGCGAGTCGAATTCAGCCCATTATCCCAGCAAATCAGAGGGGAACGATGCATTTTTACGGCTCATGTACTACAGCCTACAGAATCAGTTGAAAGATTCAGTTAATCAGGCTAATTGGATTGATAAACGTGTGAAGGGCTACATTAGTGATAAAGTAAGTAAATCTTTTATTATACAATTTTAAAACTCAAAATACTTCCTTCTCTAATTTGTACTCTCCAGTTGACCACTATGCGCCTGCAGATCGGCATACCCGAGGAAGCGCTTACCGAAAGCTCTTACATAAAGGATTATTACAATGATTTGTTGTTGAATAATTTGTTTTTTGTTGAGCATTTGGAGTCGATTTGGAGTTTTCGCAAAGTACGGATGGAAGCGAAATTGAAGCCTATGAGTATTGTGGATACGTACGTAGTTAGATTTGCAAAAAAAAAAAATATTTTATATTTATGATTATTTTTTTTTTCAAATTCATTTCCACAGTATTGTTTCCGAGATGTACACGCGTGAAACTCCACAGGCAATTAGCTATTCGAATATTTTGAATATGTTGATCATATCAAGAGGTATCGCTGCATCCGCATACTATGACTATAGATATCCAATGTGAGTATATAGACGTAAATTTTTGAATTTATAAATTGAATGTTTGCATTGTAAATTGAATGATATTTATATAGTTTAAACTTTAAACGAAGAGATATAAGGAATAAAAACAATTTATATTTATTATTGTTCATACGTAAGAATATATACTTGTCCTAACAATTTTTAGAGATAGTTGTTATAAAAACACAAAAAGAAACGTAAGGAACAATTAGCCGGGGAATATTGAAGAAATATCTCTTTTCAATATCATATGTTTTTAACCAATTATACGGGGAAACCGATTAACCGGGTTCAATTATGCGGGAAAATTTACACGGATTTTTTATGAAATATTTTTTTACCGATAAGGTAATTAAAATAAGCGGGGAAATTAATTATTCGGGGTACAATTATGCGGGTAATACCGACTACCCAAAATGTTTACTTGACCGTTTTTTTTCTTAATTCAGCATCATCAGTTTCTCGTTGTAGTGATCAGCAATATTCTGAAATAATTTTAATTTTGTTTTTTCCTCCGATATTATATTCAACAATTTTTATTGAGCTTGAGGCCGTTTTTAATGAAAAATTATTTTCGAAAAGCAACAGTAATTTTGAAAAATTGGTAGAAGTGATAGCTATCCTCGCCTTGTTCGCCTTGTTTATCACTGAACCGGCCCAAATTATGCGGGAAGAAGTCGAAATGCGAATGAAGGAAATGAATTTTTTTGGACATGTTACAACCCATTCCACCGTAGCATTCAAAAATTCGTTAAAACCGTGACATAGTCGTCGCTTTTGTGGTTTTCAAAGAAATTATTGCATGTCGTTCATAATTTTACGAATTTGAGGTCTTAAAAGGACGAAAAAGTACTAGATGATAGAATAAAAAATTAAAACCTCATTTTATTTTGGCTTCACTTAATTTTGGGAACATCACTTTAAGATTACAAAAACCTTCCTAGTTACATCTAATGTTTTTACAAATTGGGGGTATTCTCTGAGTCTTGCAAAGCCCTTGCACGGTGCTTGGATTGCCAAAAAAAAAAAACGGTTTTCCTATGGACAGACATTGTGCAAGGGCTTTGCAAGACTGCGAGAATACCTCCATCTTTAAATGCAGTGGTGGTAGAACACATTTTCAGCTTTAACCAATGGGACGTTTAAAACGTTTTTCTGGCCTATTTAATGCTGCTCTTTGGATGGCCATATTTTGCGATCATAAAAAATGTTATATTAAAAAAAAAAACGGCCAAGCAAAAATGTTTGAGTTGTGTATCCAAAAATTACATTTTGTTTCCATAAAAGGTTTAAAAACTCAGTAAACTTTCGTCCGATTTTCCAAAATAAACACGAGTGTTTTTAGTTATTAAATTTAGTTTTACAATCTTATAAAAAAAGCGTATAAAACTCATCAAAATTTAAAAAAAGGCGAAACAAGTAAAAAACAATAATATTTGTTGGCTGGGTAAATACAAACATCATTCATAATCAACTAAGTTACAGGCTTATTAGCGCGCAAAAGTACGAAAACCCGGTTTTTAACCGCAAATCAAGATTTTGGGGGTGTTTGGAAAATTTTATATTTCGATTCTTGTTTTACTCGAAAAGACCTACCAGAAAATATATATAACTTCCCAGGTATTTTTTGGTATCGCACAGTGTTATTTGAGATTTTTATTTTTTTCGTCTCGTGGGACATTCAGCCCAATTTTCAATACTCCCAGGGAGTTTGTTCTCCGAGAATTGGTTTCTCCCGAGAAAGACATCCTTCGATAATTACTTCCCAGAGAGTAGAATTTTCCCCGAAAATTTTAGAGGTGGAAATTCGAACTTCGAAACAGCAGTTTGACACTTTTTTGACAGCTCAATTCCTCCATTTAAAATAAAAAATCCTCAGGGAATTTTTATTCATGATAGGAGGAAAGGGAAAAGGGAGAAAACTCCCAGAGAGTTTCTTTACAGAATCGGCCTGATTTATTTTAAGATGGAAATGATTTACGTCTTCTCTTAATAACTGTATGGGACTTTTATTGAAATGAGACTTCTTAATTGAGTTCGAAGATTTAAAGCCTTAAATATGTAACGCCACGACTGTTGATGTCATCGTTTCGTTCGTTCGATTTCAGAAATGAGGTGTCAGATTAATGCGCTTTGCTTTTACGTGGTTTTAGTTTTTTGAACAGGGTTGCCAGATGTTAGAAAATCAAATTCAAATAATTAAGCTGGGAGATATTTGCGTTTAATTTCATTCTACAACAAACAACATAATAATATGATTTCTAAACTTTTTGCAAAACTCGCGAAAATTCAATAAATGTTCATGCTAATTTTCAACTTTTTAATCAGATTTTTTCTTGACTTTGTAGTCCATTAAAATCTAGCATTAAAAATGCAAGGTCGGACTTACTCAAAAATCGCATTGATTTTTGAAAGTTTTTTTGTTGAGGGTGTTTTGCATTTTTTTCATATTTATAAAGTATTTTCGAAATTTTTTTTGTATGGTAGAGACTGCGTGAAAAAAAATTGCCAAAAATCAACGGTAATTCGTAGCTACTTAGAACTTCTACTTTATTACAATAAAATTGATGGGGCAACAAATTTGCATACTCAAATAAATTCTAAAAACTTATTAAAAAGTTGAAAATTTGCTGAATTTTCGCGTGTTTTGCACAAAGTTTAGAAATTATATCTTTATATTTTTTGTTTTAGAATGAACCATATTTTTATAAAAAATTGGCAGAAAGATATTACAAAAAAAAACAGCTGTGCCAATACTTTTTTCCCGCAGTGTAGGTTGAAGTTATAGCTGATATTTCGGAGATCACTGCATTTCCTCATCAGTATTCTTCACCACGGTCACTGGGATATAAACCAACGAACTCAGATTACAAAGCCAGTAGCCTACCCAGTTCGCCACGTAAACTGTTGTTGCTTTGACATATGAAAAAGTGGAAAATTTTTCACTTTACTATATTCAATTTGAAAGTGTTATAAAACTGCATACGCAAAAATTTTCTTAAAATTCAGATTAAAAAGATCGACATATTGATGAAATTTTGAGGGATTTTCCTAAATTTTGTACAAAGTTGAAACTTTGAATTGCATGGTTTTCGTTAAAACTTAACCAAACTTGAAAAATGGTGTTTGTGAATACAAAAAAGATCCACTTGCGAACGCTTGTTTGAGTCACTATAAAATTGGGCTGGCCGTAATGTTTTCATTAAAAACGTTACAAAAAATGCGGACAGCTCGGTTTTATAACTTCCTATTAAATAAAAAATCGAAAGCCGGTGTTTTTTTTTTTTGAATATTGCCCATCCTTTATTTTTAGGTCTGCAGCCTTAAAATGTTTTCTTTAGTAATTTAATTCATATCGCTTTTTATTTCTTTCTTTTCCCTTTCATCACACAATAATAGCCCCATAAATTTTGCACGCATTGGCGCTGATATTTTGGAAGTTTTAATTGATTCAATCTACACCTTTGTCGAGCAGTACAAAGCCGAGCATACGATATTGACCAATGAGAGCCTTGCAGCACGTTTTGATTTACCCAAAGTGGATGTGAATTGCATTTTAGGTGAATCGCATGCGCACAGCCATCACACGGACGAATTGGACGAGATGTCAGCGCATGCGCTAAGAAGCTTTCATTACACATTGAGTGCTGCGAGAATCGCTGCACGCGCACAAACTAACTTCATAGAGGCGATCGATACGGGGACACCGATCACTGGTGCCAGCATCGAACAGGGATTGACATATGAAAATCTACGATTGACGGAACGCCATCGTATGCCTGGTTTGCGTTCATTCAACGAAAATGAACTATTCACACTCGCCTACATGCAGAAACATTGTAGCACGCTGATTGCTGATAAGGATTATGCGCCAATTAAGCCGCATGTGGAGCGGCAACTTGCTGAGGAGTATTTGTGAGTAGAAAGCATGGGAATTTGTGCGCTACATTTATTTCATTTCAACTTTTCTTTTGATTGCAGATTCAAGGCGACTTGGCAGCACATACAATTTCTGCCGCGCTCCATTAGCTGTGCCACGCCGCCGGAAGCACGCTGTTCAAATATACTCTAAATACAGATAGGAATTTTTAGTCGTTTTGTTTTTTAACTATTTTTATTGCCAAGACTAGAGACAGATATAGCAAAAACTACGCACATTACATTTACATACATGCATGCATTTTATTGTAGTTTTACAATATTTGTAAAATAATTTTATTGTACTTGTAGTATGTATATGTATTTATTAATTAGGGCATATAGTTTATAATTTTTGTATTTAAAAATTTTTACGAGTGCTGAGATACTCGTAATTTACAAACTACTTTTAGCTAGAGTTCAGTAAGGTTTTAGGTGAACATTTGCTTTCCATTAGATGTGTACACTGCTTTTATTTGCATTAGATATAGTGGCGAAATACTATTTAAGGTTAAATTGAAGCCGAAAAAAAGACAAATATGAATTTGCAAAACAAGATTGTGTAAATGTATGAAACAAGAATGTAGCTACGATTTATTAAAAAAAAAGAACATAAAAAGTAGTTAGAAGTGTAAAAATAAAAATTATTGAAATTTTAAAACGCAACCTCGGTTGTTTTTTTATTTTTGATCTCCACCAACCACCAAAATCACCACCAAACACCACAACACCACAATAGTAAAAATTGCAAATTATCTAAAAAATAAAATTCGTCGCCCGGGTTCTACGAAATCGCTCCTGCGCTCACAGTTTGTGCCTTTCACCAGGGTACCAGAAACGCCCAGCAGCAGGCTGTTGCCGGAAGGTAAAACCAAGATGCAACTACGACTTCCGCGCAACACAGGGTGACACTTGTGTAAGATTAAGGCTAAAACCCGGCACATGGATGCCCCTGTGTCGCCGGAAGTTGCACATGCGCCTTGGGCGTATGCAACGAATTTTGATTTTTTCTGCCGGCAGCTGCCTACTGTGCAATTATAGCTGCCTGGTGGAATTGGTAGAATTTGTTCGCCACGAAAAAATTTGAAAACGCGCTAGCAGCGCTGTCGATGTGCGCAGCGGTGTGCGTGCGTGCGGATCAATCGATTTTGACGTTTGAGGTGTCAAATGAAAGGGGTTTGAACTGCGGTGCATGTTTGAGACGAACAACGTGTTAAAAATTTAATTTTTCATAAAAAAAAAATTGGGGAGATTTAATTTTTTTATGTTATCTTTGGGGATTTAAATAATTATAGATAGTTCTTGTGAAGTTACTTACTACATATAGTGGCGGCCACATAATTAGGGACACTATTGCTTTACAAGGTTTGACCATTTATTTTCTCTATATATATTTTTAATTTACTTACCAAAATGAAACCCCGGTAACTTGGAATTTTAAACCATATACAGAAACTTTAAAAAATTACCAACTTTGAATTTTTAATTTTTGATTTTTTTTTGTAACGAATTTTTTCCCACACCAAAAAAAAATCGAACTTACTTTTCTAGAGATTCTGACAAAAAGTTTGAAATTTTAAGGATATTTTCTTTTGAAATTTGGCCAGTTTTAATAAATTTTGTACAAGATTGAAACTCTGAGTTATATAGTATGCGCTGTAGTATAAACTATATCTTTGTAAAAGAATATATGCGTATCAAAAATAAATAAAGAAAAGATAAATGATCAAAACTTTGAAAGAAGTGGTGTCACTATGCGGCCACCACTGTATGTACATTTGTTTGAATTTGATACAAAACCTTTGATCTGTGCCTTTGAACTTCGGACTAAAACCTGTGTAACTGTAATACTACACTGGTTTACAAATGCAACCCTGCCCTATCGCTTGACACTTTCCAGGAATTTGCAGGAATAAAAACTCTGAACTAAATCCTTTAACTTCTGACAAGGAAGAGTTGCTCAGTTAATCTCACAGAAGTGTTCCCAGTTACATGTTTTTTGTCTATTGGAACGACTTTCTGTAAGTTCTGACTAAATCGTCTAAGCCGGACTCGTATTGGAACAGACTTATTGCTGAAAGTTGTAAATATATGTCAACTGTTTATTGTCAATTGGTGCTTACCTTTTTTATTAAAATTTTTACCATCCTCCGACTACACTCCGCAAAGTAAAAATCATATAGTTTTCTGTGTTCTTTATTGAATTATTTTTGTCTCTAACAATAGCAGCAGCTTTTCCTTTGTCTTATTTATTTATTTATTCTTTGTTATATTTAATTTATATTAGGGTTTTACTTACATATGCCACACATATACATATTTATTACATACTTAGTATTTGTATGTATGTATGCATGTGTATATATTAAATTTTCTATACTTATATACCAATTGCTGTAGTAATAATCTTAACGATTTATAAAACATTTCATTTTCTTTAGAATTATAACAACGTATTTCTTTATACATACACATCTCTTTTTGTATTTATTTGTTTTATTCAAATTTTCGTAATATTTTTAATTTCTGTCTGCATTTTTGATTCACTGGTACCTGTGTAGGTAAATAAGTTGTTGATGGCTTCATTATTTTGTGGCTACATTTTTGCGGTAGTTTCATCGATGCTCTAAGAAAATGGCCAAATTGTGTGTGGCAATCGCAGTATGTAGTATGTATGTAGATTAGGTTAGTTACCGTTTTTCGTTTTAACCAAATTTGAAGTATTGAGAAAAATAATGACTATTAATCACAAGTGCTATATTTGCCTAAGTATGGATGTACGTAAGTGTTGTCGATACGAAAATTCATACAACTCGATGGTTCGATATTTTCTCGGTTAATGTCTGCCGAAATTCTGACCACGCCATCCACAATAAATACTTAACTGCATACTTTTTTGTGCCTCTTAACCGCCTCGCCTGTTTAGCGCTACCAACATTTCTTTTAGGTACTCCTTTTCTCACTTTATTTTTGTTGGATGTTTTCAATATAATTTTTATTTTTTTTTGTATATCACATTCATCTTGTTACATTTTTTACTAGACACTCCCCTACTTTGCTATGCTTCCCTTTTCCATCTTACAATATTGAACTTTTTCTTGCTGTACATGAGTTGTGTATTTTTTTGTTTTTGTTTTTTTTTTTTCTTGGAAGTGAGGAGGAAATGCATTTTGAATTGTAAGTTTTTTTTTATGTTTTCCTAATTTATTGATTTTCTTATTTCGTTTGTTTCTCTTCTATTAATAATCATAAGCATTTATTTTTATTATTCAGTTGTTGCATTTCTTATTGTTCTTTTGTATATTTTAAATAAGTTTATAATTACTTTTTATACATGATATTTTAGTTATGATTTTCGGATTTTTTCCTTATTAAGTTTGCTTGAAGCAATAAAAAATTATTTGCTTGTTTATATAATATACTATATATCTATATTTGTCTTGGTATTTCAACTAAATATTTACAAAATGTTAGCGAAATTATAATATAATTTTATTAAATTTTGCAATGTGAGATTTCTCTACGCATTAGGGACCAGTCTTGTTTTTTAATAATGAGTTTCTAACTAATTTTTGTGTTGGTACCTAGCAGCTAGTTGACGAATACAGCTTGGTTTACGAAGTTAAAAAAGTTGAATAAAAGAGTAAAATAAAAATAAAAATGCTTACGAAAAAAGATCGAGGCTTCTCCTGAATATTAAGTTTTTAACAGCCGCACTCTAAAGCACTTAACGTGTTGCTCAGTAACGATTTTAAAAAATTCCCTCTCAGAGTCAGTTAACGATTCATTAACAGTATTTAATGAATATTAGAGTTAAGTAAAGAAAAACTGTTACTTAACTTTTTCACCAAAGATTATGAAATTTTTTGTTTGTGCCAAAAATTTCAATTTGGCTAACGTTGCTATAATAGTTGCAATGGCGCAGTGAGCAGAGCACTGGCGTGCCATTCGAGAGATCCGAGTTCAATCCTCAGCAACACTTTTTCTTTTATTTTTTTACTTTTTTCTTTTATAAATAAATTTTTTCCTTAAATTTTCAAGTTTTATTGTTTAAAAAATTAAAAGATTTTAATTTCATTTAATATTTAGAAACTTGTCAATAAATTTTTTTCTTCTTTTACTTAAATTTTTAGTTTTTATTGTATTAATTTTTTTTTTTCGAAATACAGAAAAGAGCTTTGAAGATAGTTGCCGGAATAGAAAGACTCTTTCTTTCGAAAGACTGTGGTCAGGTGAAATACAGATGCCAGAATTGGCGTGTTAGTTGTTTTGTTTGTCTTCTTGCAAACATTTTCTAAAAATTAAATTGAATTAAAAAATTAGTTTCCTTTTAAAAACAATAAAACCTAACAATCAAACGAAAATTAATAAAAAAAGCAACAAATGAAATAAAATAAGTTTCTTAAAATTTAACAAGAAGAATAAGAACATATCAAAAAAGGAAAAATAAATTTTTTTGCACTACGACTCGAGCTCGGATCTCTCGAATGGCACACCAATGCTCTACTCATTGGGCCACTCCGACTGCGACGAAAAAAGTCAGTGATGCCACAAAAAAAGGGCCGCAACTGGGCTATACCTATATTTTATGAGAGGAAATATTAATTAACATATTTATCGATAATTAGTTAAGTGCCCGTTAGTGCTAATCTAATGAATGTTTCTGAGTGCGGCTGTGAGAGGAAATTTTTTCAAATCGTTACTGAAGAATACGTTAATCTTTAAACGACTCTGAGTGCGCCTGTAGGATCAGTATTTTGAATATGAATCAGAATCTGAAGAATTTACATGAACTACATAAATATATATTTTTTTTAGGTGACTGTAATACCTTTTTTTTATGTTTTAAATGAATAAAGCCCAAGTAAATAATGCATGGAATAATTTTTTACGCACAGTGAAACCTCCATATAACGAACCTTAATAAAACGAAAAACTTGGTATAAAAAAATTTCGTTGCGAAATTTTCCAAACAAAAATACTCCATAGATTTAACGAAAACCTTCGGAATATAACTTATCGCATCTACAATTGACGATTTTAATTTTCAATTGACCATTTCGCATTTACAACGGGAAATGGTGTAGTTCGATACAGAGTATTCTTCTGTCTATCTTTTTGTTTGGAGGTCGCGAGCTACTAGGCGCCCACGAATTACCGGTTGGAAAGCACTGGTATAGGCCATTCATCCTGTGTTGGAATCATTCGGCTCTCAAAGATTTTGTACTGTGTAATAACTTACACTGTGCGACAGCCGAAGTCAGCCTGGTTTTTGTTAACATTTTCTGTACCAAGCCATTTGTCACCTGAAAATAGTTGATTTCAAGAAGCGAATACTTTTTGTTTGAAGGAATGATTCGCGGCGTAACTGAAAATTTCTACACATATTTAAATAAGTAAAGGTTTAAATAACATTATTTAAATTAGTTATTAAAATTCCGTGCCCTACACCTGGGAGTGGCTAGAAGTGATTCTTTTGTGTACTGTTCAAATCACAGCTGGCTACTTCGTTTTGCAGCGAGCTAAAATGAGAAGGCATAAAAACTCGCGTGTGATTAGTTTGGGTCCCGCCACGCTTAAATTAAAATTTAGTAAAATAAAATTGTTTGCTGTATTCGCCCATACTTTGCTAGATGACAAAACAGAAGAAGCAATACATACATACATATGTACCATGATTCAATTATTAAAAGTTTTGTAATTAGCTTTTTTTCTAAAATTTGACACTCCCACCCACAGTGATGGTTTTTGGAAGTAGGAGAAAAAGGGGAGGAATTAAATCACACTTCCTAAAATGGTAGCTAAATTCCACAAAAAGGTGTGGATAATAGTGAGTGGTGGTATTTTAAAACAAAAACGAATTTGATTTAATTATTTAATTTAAACAAGCTTATTTACATTGAATATGACCCCTGTTTGTTATTAAAAATAAATATTTCTATGTCTATACCAAACTAGCGTACGTCAGACTGCGTATAACTCGAGAATGGATGGTCCACTTTGAGCTTTTTTTGTTGTATCTGTTAGCCAGATGATGGATATGAACGACTGAGACAGGGAGCGTGATCTACATCGTCAAATAAGCAGTGCTGTAAGTGTGCAATTACATCGCGACATTGACTAAACTGAGCTGTCGTGTGTTACTATTGGGCCCATGGATGCGGTTTGCCAATATTATATATTGCGCCAAAGTCTCATTCGGAGACACCAGGATTGTGTTGTGTAGCGCAGTACCTAAATACCTACGTTGACTCATTTACCAGAACCATTGCGCGCTTTACTTTACAGCGACTTGGCAGAATACACAGGTCTCGAATGGCGACAAATACAACTATTCGGCATCTAAGGGAATTTCGTCTCTTTAGCCTACATTGAATTTCTCTAGGCCAACAGTTCTCAACCATTTTGTCTTGTTGTCGCCAGCGAATGCAGAACGAACATTTCTTCAAATTTAAAAAGTAAAAATTTCACTACTAAAAGTTTAAAAATGTTCTTAAAATCTGCAAAGAAATTTGGAAAAGAAATAACACTGTTTTTTTTCTGGGATTAGGGTGGGGGTGTCATTGATGAAATTAGAGCGAGATAAAGTTTTTCTTACAAAGCCTTTCATTATTGAATCATGCATATGTAGATTTAAATATAAGCAATTTTTTCTGAGTTTTTGTTGTTTATTTTTGATATTTTATCTATATGTGGTATTTTCGATTTGTTGAAATAAAGCCAAGCTCAGTAGAAGGTAGAAATGCGTGTTTAGTAAGTATAAAATAATTACAAATTTTCTTTCCCTTCCTAAGTATTTTGTATATTACAGAGTGTGGTGTGTATGTGTGTGTTTTTAATTTATTTTGATTGAGTTTAATTTCTCGCTTCTAAGTTAAAAAAAATAAATTGAAAGTTGTTTTCATATAATATTTTCATTTCGTTTAATACTTTTTATTATTTTAGTTTAGTTTGGCAAGATTTTCAACAAATTTTTTTTATTATTATTTCGTATTGTTATACATACATACATATTTGTTCGTTTACGCAACTATGCTTCGTTTACATACTTGATATATATATATAGTATATTATATATGTATGTGTTATTATTTTCTTATAATTGAAGTTGCTTACTCTGTTTTTTACTGATTTTTGCTTTGTCTTACGTAGAATATTGTATTTTGAATAAAAAAGCCATTTTTAATTGATTTAATTTCATTTCATGTCTCCATTTGAATTGATGTGTAGAATTTATAAGAATTGGAATAAGAATATAAACACACTTCATATCATAATTAATTTTATTGTGTGTTATCTTTACACGTTTTATTGTATTTGTTAAAAAAAAAAACAAAAAAAAAAATTATACAAAAATTTTATATCGATATGTTGTTTTTCTAATTAATTAAATTCATAAATCGAATGGCGCTTCTTAAGTTTTTAAATTTCTACGTTTATTTGGTACGAATGAATCTATACACCACAAACAAACAAAAAAAAAACGTTGGATTCCTTGTTTGGAAAATTTGCTAAACAAAAATTCTATATTATTTTGGAAAAAATAGTTAATTTTTACTAATGTATTCAAGCTTTAACTAAAAGTTTTTGGGTAAAAAAACAAACCAGAAAGCCATTTTAATTACTTGCACTCTTTTTTTTGTTTTTGTAACACTTTTGTTTTTTTTTGTTTGCGTGGACGGTATTCAAAGCTTTTAGATAACATCAAAATTCCATTATTTTTACTTTCCTTCCATTCATTTTTAATTTTTCATATTTTTTATTTCCCACTAAATTTGTCCATTTTTGATATATTAGTTTTTTTCAGTACATATTTACATAGACCCAAATAGCAGCATGTAAAAAGCAAAAAGAAAATACATACAAATATTGCAAAATCATTTCAATTAAATAGCTAAACAGTTTCAGTCGCAAATGTGTTTTTATCGCAAAAAATTTTTTTTTTGTTTATATATTTTTTTTACGTATACTTATGTATCTATGTATGCATATGTACACATTAAGTAAATCGCTTAAAGTTTGCGTGGTTTTTGAAAAATGGAAAATGTTGACCAATTTAGGACCGATTAGCAAATAATAAGAATGTCTGAACGCATGTCCAAATGAAGATACTTAGTAATTATAAATAACTAGCTAGGAAAATTGGGAACAAGTCTAAGAAATGTTAGCACCAGGGATGCCAACTGTATTAAGGATAATTTCCCCGAAATTTCCTGAAAAACTTCGCCTATTTTCAGTGGATTTCCCCCAAAATAACATTCACTATGTATTTAAGGCTATTTATTCTCATTTCTGAGTAAATTTCGTAAAGCATACATATCTATCATATATTGATGAAATTTTTGAAATTGTCTACAAGTCGATCTAAAATCAAGAGAGGTTTTATTTTCAAATAGTTGTATTTTAAGTACCATTGCCTCCAAAGTATCTATGCCAAGCCTATTTCTGACTACAGTTTTTTTCTTATTAATTTTGGAAAAATCGTCAAGTTAAAGTGTTGTTATTGTTGTTGTAGCAGCATGTAGTCCCCAAATTGGTTGGTTGTTTATTCGGGGATGTACATATGCTGGAGTGATGGTCCTTGGCCGGAGTATACGGGTCGTTCTGGTGAGCGTCGAGCCGACCATCGTGAGATCTAAGAATGTGAGTTAAAAGTGTCGCTCCGCGCGGTTGCTATTTCTTTAACGTCCACACGGTTGCATGAAGCAATTTCGTTATGTTTTTAATCCGTAACACCGTAACAACATATTGTTATTACAAGGTGTAATTTTATACTCAATTGGAATGCTCTAATAAAAATCGTTTGTATACTGAATTCCACTAAAATTTAAAGCCATTCCCTGATTCCTCGAGAAAATCAAATTCCACCAAAATCGGGGGATTCTCCCCCAGTTGGCATCACTGGTTACCACTACCAAAAAAGTCGTACTAATTTATGAACCTGTCAAATTGTATTGTAAATATACATATAGTATGTAGCCTTTGAACTGCGTCTCTACAACATTTTTAAGAGTTCGATTTGCTGAACAAAATTAAGATAATTGAAAACTTCAAAACAATTGTTGGTCGTTAAGCGTTACCTCAATAAATAGCAATGGCGAAACAAAGTAAACGACATTAGAGAAAGTCAAGACAAGGGACGAGGGGAAACCGGTACACAATACTTTACAGAAAGTATTCTTATATCGTCACCTGAAAGTCAAAAAGATGTAACAAACAAATCATCACTGAAATGCAAAAAGTCATAACAAATAAAAAACTCAAAGTTCGCTTTTTGATTTATATGATGGATTTTATCGAATTACAACTCCCACAAAATTTTATAAAAACATAAGGATGTTAGTCAGGACTTTTTCAATTATTCAGTGTTACTTTTTATGAAAGAACATAACGTTCTGCACTAAAATTTGAGCGTTAGAGGAATCACATTTTTACAATCAGTTCATCATAAAAACTTTTACTGCGCAATTTCTGCAGCATTTCTGAAGATTATCAGTTGAGCATCAGCAACATATCTCGGCGAAAGCAATCGTCTCGCAATTGTTATACATATATATGTAACTTAACTGTTTGGTCAAAACATATACAACTGAAAGGATATTTTAGAAAGGTCAAGCATCAAGTACTGAATAATTAGCGGTAAAAGGTATATTCAAGTAACGAGTAAAAAATTAAAATTATAAAAATCAGAATTTTTTTTTTATTTTTGAACACAAAAATTATAATTTTACATTTAGTTAAAAAAAAATCATTTCCAATAAACCGAGGCACATTAAAGGGATTTCTCTTTCCCAAAGGATAGATGATGCCCCGACAACAAAATACGCACATTAAATTTTATAACAAGATGCTGCAAGTTTATTGAAGTCAACTTTTTCCAAGTAGTAGATATTGGAAGCATTGCAAAATCTTAACTATTCAAAATCAATAAACGCAGAAGTAAAAAGCAAAGTAAACATGAAAAAATAACGGTAAATTGAAATTACGTGACGCACTTTGACACGATGGAAGAGTTTATGATGAATGATGGTTAAAGCGTTATCATACAGCAAATATTTAAAAAAAAGTATCGATACCGATTACTAAACTCCAAAAAAGCATCGAGTAAAATAGTACTTGCTTCGGGGGAAAATATATCAAGCATCTACTTGCGAGTACAGGTATCGAGGAATCACTAGATATGTAATGCTAATAATACAGTTTCAAACACATAGATACGAATACAATAACATTAAAATCACATGAAATTCATCTCAATATAAAAAAATATTCCAGCATCGTCGAAAAATTGCCCACTGGCCAGAAACAGTCAAGCTGCATAAAATTTGTTTAAGTGCGATTTTTGTTTTGGTATTTCTGGGTAAAATTCCGGCTGGTATCTTGAAAATATGGAAGATGTCAAGATGTTGGCTTTAGTATTTTTGAATCTACTAATTCTGCCATTTTAAGTCTTGCAACACCAGTCCTTTTGTTGCAATTATCCTTGAATTAACCGAAGATTACCCAAATCCATGGAGCTGTGTTGCTATTTCGCACGTTCCTTGAAATTTCTGGAACGTTTTGAAATTTCTCGACATCGAATAGTGCTGCAAAAGCATCGATGTTTGAGGCTATCGATTTTTCGATGTTTTTGCCAATAAAAGATTTTACGTCTTCCACTGAATGTTCTGTGTTTCTCTGGTTGCCAGTTTTGAACTCTTATTCGCATGTTCGCCGTATACGCCACACTGCACTCCATCTAATTCTGATCATATCGATAACACTCATTTGATGTTCCAAACGCTGCAACGCTCTCCAAGTGGACACCCTTCATGTTGTTTCTTGTCCTACCAACGGTCTGAATTGTTTCCCAGTTACACTGTAATTTTGAGGACAAACCTTTTTTCTGTTGCGGATCGCACAGCAATACTAAATCTCGTTTTTGAAAACCCTCGGAGTTCGTCGCTTTATCATACCTAGCCTTCATAATATCACTCATAATTTGAGTATGTTATCTCACAAGGACATGTATTTCTCTCAGTTGCTCTTTTAGAATGTTGTACGCTGGCTGATATCTCATCAGCAGCAAAGCTATGTGAACATACCAATGTTTCTTATATTTGCCCACGAACTTTCTCGAATACTATTCTAAATTCCGATTGCGTAGTTCCACCATGCCATCTGCTAAAATAGTCCACAACCACGAGAACGTATTTGTATGACAAACTGCTCATAGGAAATGGACCGGCCAGATCCATGGAAATCCGCTCGAATATTTTACCGGAGTTATGCTCTCTCATCTGGCCACGACTTGTGGATTTCGCTTCTTTAGCTGCAATGCACTCCGCACAGTTAGCGATCCCCTCTGCTACCTAAAGAACCTCTGCGTGATTAAGTACAGAATCTTTCCCAGATGTCCTCCCACTGGGACCATTGTGAAATTCCTAGAGAACTTGCAGAATTCTTAGCCTTGGAACTACTATTAGATTTGGGGGACACTGGTCATCTTTACTTTCCCATATCCCATACAAACAGCCAGATATCAACTTTAAGTACATAGTTCCATATCCAGTCCGTGCATCAAAAGCTTAATTTTTTTTGCGTACTTGGACAGTTTTCGGCCAGCGGTCGATTTTTCGTCTAGTTCATATCAAGAAAACGATGGGCAGATTTAGTTTTCTGGTGTGTTTTTTCTTGATTAGGACTCCAAAACTACTTCTTTATAACGAAATTAATAAAATACCGTAATTTATAAAAAAATCTAAAATAAAACATTTTTTAATAAAAACAGGAAGCAAATAATTTTGTTCAAAATTGTTTTGGTTTGAAATTTGCGGACTGCTATACAAGCGAATCGGAGCGATTTTGAAACAGCCCATATTTTCTTTTCAAAGCTCACTGAGAACTGGACGAATCTGACAGAATGATATGGGACATTGACGGCTTGTAAGGGGAATTTTAAGCAATGTTTTTTCGAGTCGAGTCGATTTCCAGTACAAAAATAAAGTTAAATGACGAATGAGAGTTTTTTTTGCAATGTTAAAACAGTTGTAAGTCTTAATAAAGCTGCATTTCGTATATTTAATCACACAATTTAAATTTGATTGCAATGCCAGGCACCCAAAGTTATATATGTAGCTGGTTTGAGCGTTAGACATGAATTTTTCTTGTGCAAAAATCGGGGGAAGAATTATACATACATATATGACTTTCGGGAAGCGAAAATAATTTTTTAATATACATATGTACATACGTATGTCACTAAATTCATATACATAATTCATGATTTCTAATTTAGCTAATAACTTGTTGGAAGATTCCTTATTTCTTAATAACAAGTAGGTATTTACTTTAATACACAATTCGAACAAAAAGTTAGACTCAAAAAAAGAAATTGTTTATATTTAAGAATGCAGCTAGATTGCTAATATTTAGTTTTATAATTTACAAATTTTCTGGCGCTATTGATAATTTATATGTATGTTTGTTTGTTACTTTCGCTCAGCGTTTGTTACAGTTGACTAAGTATTACTTAGGTTGTTTTTTTTTTTTGCAGTTGATTTCTTATTATTGTATTTACAAAAAAAGTGTTAATTTTTTATGGCATCGAATTTACTCGCTTATGTTCTTGTATCGGCATTTTTTGTTGTTGTTGTTTTTGCTTTGTTTTTAATTGTTTGTATGCGAGTACGAGCATTTTGTCTACTTGTTTGTGTTTTATTTATATTTGTTTTTTTTTTAACGTAACGGCAGTTTTATTGATTAATTTATCGTAATTTTTCTTGGTTGTATGTACGTATGTATGTTTGTATGGGTAATCGATTAAGTCGACTATGTGGCTATTGGAGTTGTGTTTTTTTGTTGCCTATATTGAGCGAACAGCTGAACAGATTTAAAAAATTAATTACTTAGGGACGTTTTCTCGATAAAGATTTAAAATACATTCGGAATTTAGCTGAGAATCAACGACTCGACAAGTCTGGCTCAGCTCTGACAAGAAAATTTCCGACGCACTCGTTCTGTTAGAGCGCCCTCGCTGGTACATAGATAAGAGCAATAACTTCTGCCGTAGCTGCCGCGACGAGGAAGAAATTGAGAGTGTTGAACACTAGCTCTGTCACTGCCCTGCCCTGTCGTGGGAAAGAAGACGCTAATTTCGCAATCGCTTCTACGTCTGTCTCACGAACTAAGCGAAGCAGGCATTCATGAATTCTCGCGCTTTATGGTATCGCGTAAGAGCTCTCACTCGATACTACAATGCACCCACTGCTATATTGAAAGCAGGCATCCACTTCAACCTAACCTAACCCAACTGAAGAATGCAAGTTATTTCTTAACTGAAACCACTGATAAATGGAAAAAGTTAACCAAGACTTAAGTCGTTTATTGAATGGCGATCATAATATAGTTTTTGAGAGATATTGCTAGAAAGTTTAGTGGGCTGAGCCCCTGCCGTAATGGTAAATTTCCGCGTAGGAATTTAAAATAAATTTCAGGAATAACGACTCCAAGCCAGAAAGCTCAAGACCCGGACAACAAACCCGGATAAAAGTTTCTGAATTCGAAAATACTGAAGTGGGAAGAATTTTGAATTGTAACTCTTCATTTTCTCAAAGCTGAGCTTCTCAAAACTGTCAGCTAGCCTTTAATTCCGTTTGATGTGTGTTGCTAGATGGTATGTTTGTGGGCATGTAGACATCCTCTCCAGTACAATTCGCACTGTGTGTTTGTTAAATGATTTTGTTCGTTTTGTTGTTCCTGACTGTAAGCTATATATTTACTACATAGTTGCTCAAATAGATTTCACAAATAAAAAATAAATAAATATGTAAATGAGTTCACCTTAATGAAGTTTTCTTTTGCTGTATGCTCGTATTTTTAATTTTTGTGTAATAGCCGCTAATACTTTGTTTGCTTTTTAGTTTAAATTTTCTGTAGCTAAATATGATATTCTCTAAATGTGTTCTAAAAAAATTATTCGCTTTTCTGTTTTTTTTTATTGCTAACAATAAATTTAACTAATATTTGTTTGTTTTATTTTTGTATGCTTATTTTTTGGGTTTTTGTTTCTTGTTTTCTCAGTTTATTCTAAATATTTCGACATATGCTTTCTCATCAACTGCTTCTTCGATTCTTCATTTTGCACTGAAGCGGTTTAGACCGCTTTCGATGACGTTTCTGGCATCCATCGCTGCATTTCACGTTGCCAATTGAGGCCGTTTATCAGGTTTTTTACTAGAAAAATTATTACAAATTTAGTTACATAATTGTTGGGATTAGATGTTTATTTACATAGGTTTTGGGTGACAAGAAAATGCAGGAAAACATTTTGTACCAGTTAATTTAGTAGCTTTGCATCTTTAGTGTATTAGGGGCATCCTTAAAATATCATCAACTCAGAGTTCGGTAATTTTTCGCCAGGATTTTGTTAAGATTTCTTAAGGTTTTAACAAAACTTTGGAACTTTCTTTAACTGTACTGTGGGAGTAGGGAATGTGATATATGCAAGAAATTAATACAACAAAAAGGGCAAATTTTGTTTGGGCATATCGCCGAATCGTTACGTACCCGTTGTGATAGTATTATGTAATTTATTTAAAAAGAGGGCTGACGTTTTTTAGTCGAGTGTTATTATTTATCTCGAAATTATCTTTCGTTTTAATAAAAACAAATTTGAATATTTGAACGGCTTTTGCCTACAAATCATTTTTCTAAATTTACTGAATAGAGTTTTACATATAAGATACGTGATGTCTTACGATACTCGTTTTAGCGAATTCTTAGCTTTTAGAAAGTTATCGCGCAGAAGTAATTTAAGCCACGAGGAAATAGAAAGGATATCCTTAAATAGTGGTACGTTTCCAAAGTTTGAAAATATATTTAATTTTGTTTTTTCAATACCACACTTAAACGAAGCAACTGAGAGGATTTTAAGTATAAAGTTTGCTTTCTGGCGTAAAGAGCGAAACAGACTTCTAATTAAAATGTTTGAAAGAGAACTCCAAATTAAAAGTAATTTGAAAATGCAATGTGTATAATTCTTTCACTTTTTAAATAATGAAAGTGAAAATGAGCTCATTGTTGCAAACAAATAATATTTATTTAAGCAAAAAGCAAAACCGACTTCAATTCGCTTAAAAAAATTTTAGGAGTCCCGCTAATTTCTCTATGATAAAATTATCGGAGCTAAACCAAATTAGTATGGAACCCCCTTAGAGGTACGACCTTTACGATGAAAAAAGAACTATCGAAATCGGTTACCGTAATTCAAAGTTATGCGATAACATATGTACATTTAAAAAATAAATATTCCGATATTGATAACCTTCTCTTTTATGAAGTCGATTGAAAATATCATTAATATTAAATAATTTATTGACTCCTGTGTACAATGATATTATAAGGACATTATAACATTTTTATTTTTTATGGACCTCATTTTATTTATACACCAAAATATTGTTAGAAGCAAGTACTCTGGCCTTTTAAAGTATTTTCTGTTACTTACATTCATAATTTTGATTTGAATAAAAGTGTACTGGCTTTCATAGCATGAAAAAGCCTTAGGTGCTGACTGCGCACGAAAAAAAACGGGCAACCCTAGACATAGAGAAAATGAAACCTCAACCTTTTCGCAGAATTTGGAATGATACATATTTCTGAGAAGTGGATTATTAAAAATTGCCGCAGAAGATTGTACTTTTGTAGAACGACCCATTGAAAATGTCCACTGTGTCGGAAAGAGCTACCTAGCCTTAATCATTAGATATCTGTTTAGCCATTTTCCACCATTTATAACTTCCGTTTCATTTGCCAGGCTAGAGAAAAAATATGACATCATCTGGCAGATGAGGAGATACCCCACTATAAATTATCATTTTTTTATCTAATCAACTTATCCTAAAATAGGGCTTGAGATGCTGGCAGGTAGGAATACGACTTCAAACTTAGTTCCGAAAATTCGGCAGCAGGGGATGGTTTCTGCAGAGATGTAGATGAGAATTTGGTAGCATAAGGTACTACCGATCAAACATGCGTGAAAAGCTGATTGGGCCTTATCAGCGTAGCTTCAAGCTTGGCAAATCCACCATTGAGCAGAGTTTCACAGCTCGCAAAGTGTTGGGAAACCCCCTAGCTAAGCAAATGGACACTCACCAACAGCACGAAAGGAAGTTGCCTCTGTGACAGCCTGTTTAAAATTTAAATACCCTAAAAGATTCGCTGCTGAAAACTGTAAGCTGCTAGTTAATCGAAATCGCAGCGGCTGTATACATATACAATACAAACATACTACATATGAATATCGAAATCACGATGCTGCTAGCGTATGCAGGATATATTGGATTCGTCTGCCTCGATATCAGGGCTTGATTTAGCAGTGAACGAAAACTAGACAATGTATTTTCTGGAAACAGCTGACAGCCACAAGTTTTAAGAAGCAAACTGACAATAACTTAAGGCCGAGAGATCGAGCAAGATCACTCTTGCCAATGGATGCTACTTTGGAGTCGGTAACCAAATGCCAAGAAGATGCTCCTCTCGACGAACTCTGCAGAACTTTCGTCATGATCGGCGCAGAAACATTGACGAACAAAGCTAGAAGCTTTCGAAGGATTACAAGAGAATTATTCAATAGTCCTCTTCAAGTTGGCGACATATCTTTATAATGAAATAGACATATAACTAGAACAAGTTAAAATGAAACCTTAAGATTGTACTACTCTTTCATAAATGTGATTTAATAAATATCTATGTACATATATAGTATCATGGTGGTCCAAAAAAAGTTTAAAATGTTAAGCTCACACCCCAAGAATTTTTCTAAATGTAAAAGAGGAATACCCGTATTTTTTGTTAAAAAAATACATCTGAACTGCCTCAAAGTCCACGAAGTTTTCCAAAATTTTTATATGTGGAAAAAGACTTTTTTGTAGAAATGGTAAAGAGTTCTAAATATATTTTTTTTTTAACAAAAAAATACGGGTATTCTTTTTTTCCACTTAGAAAAACCCTAGGCGGTGAGAGCTTATAATTTTAAACTCCCTCCCCCATGCATTTTTGGACCACCTTAATGTATAACCTATGTATTTACGTATACATATGAATGTACTAAGATATCACTTACCCAGTAGTCAGACGTCAGTTTCAATACTGACCGCCATGGCACTATTGTGACGCAATTGCAGTGTATTCGATTGGCCACGCAAGCCATTCTGTTGTTGTTGCAACTGTAATTGTTGCTTTTCGAATGATTGCTGTGCTCGCAAAAATGGAGCTAAATGTCGGCCAGGATGATCAGTCAAGCCTGATGTAGCATCGATGCCATCATCTAAATCCATAATATCCGACGATGATTCGGACATAGAAGATTTCTTCATATGTTGGCCTGTAAAATATAGAATACTTAGTTTAGTGAATATTATCGATTGTACAATAAAAGAATATAAATGGTAATACGAGTAATTTTGAATTAAATTTGCAAATTGAAATTTTGCATAAAAGCACTCAATGCCCACGCACACTCACTCACCCAATGCACCAGGTAAATATGAACAACTTGTGACGTGATTGAAATTTTGACTCTGCATCTCCTCCTGATCCGTTTCGCGATGATAGAAGTAGTTGAAGTTGCTGACGATTACAGGGACGGGCAGTGCGATGGTCAGTACACCAGCGATTACACACAGCGAACCGACAATTTTGCCCCAAAACCCGACAGGTCTGTTGAGTGCGATGTTGATTGAAGTAGTTGCAGTCAAGAGTTCGAATTTCGTTTGATTTTTATTTTTGGTTTCATTTTATAAATTTTTTGTTAAAATTTATTTATTTTCATTAAATTGAGGAAGGGTTTGAAAGAGCAAAATGTATATTAGTACACTTAAATTAACTATAGGCTAGTTAGAGAAAGGCTCGGCATAGTATAATACGCTAAGTTGAGAGATAAGAGTTTAGACACCGATTTTCGTAACTTAGAAGAGTTAGAGCGCGGTTAACCACGAACGTGTACGTAGAAACCTATCAAGTTTGCTGTTGATTGAAAGAGAGAGAAGCAACGTCTACGTCACGGTCATGCGGTGGTGAGTTTTTGTTAACACTCAGATCCCATAAGATAGATCGTGTCAGCTGACACGTTCTCCGTTTTTACGTATGTACGTGGGTAACTGCGCTTTAACTTTTAAGGCAAAATGAGATTTACGCTAGTAACACGTGAGCATGTGAAACTACAGATTTTTACGCTAAACGGAGTGTAACAGAACTAAAATTCAATTTGATCGCGATAGTAGATAATGAAATGAATGACAAAATGATAGAAACATCTAGTAGATAGAGATAGAAAGCGCGCCAGATGGGGACTTTAATGAGTACAGTAATGCGGTAAAGGTATACAGATGATAATGAGAACTAGACACAAGTGTTTGATGAGCTGACAAAGAGATGAAAATGTTTTAGACTGTGTGAGCGAAAGGTAGAGAGCTACACAGAGAGAGAGTGTGGAAATGAGTGATTGTACTACATACTTCTGTAATAGAAAGAACACCAGCGCTAATGGTCAAACGCAATGGCAAGAAGAACAAATGAGCGTTTCGAAGTGTGTGCATTTCAATGTAATGAGTGGCAGGTGGTTTGACACATTCACTATTAAAATGGGTATATGAGTATCAAAAACTTTAGTGTGTATGTATGTAAGTGTTGGCCTACTGATGGTCAGAGGTGAATTATGTATATATATGTAGCTGTCATTACTTGTGTTAAATTACTTAGTTGTCATTAATAAAAGCACTAAGCTGATATGGTTTCAAATTAATTTTTACTGGATGTATTAAAATTCTTGGTAGATAAATATGTATGTATGTTAATTTCAAAACTTACATTCAATGCTTGCGTTTATTTAGGGTTTTTTTGTTTTGTAAAATTAGTGTAGCGCTTGTTCGTCATCTCAGTAGCTGTTGTTAGTGCGTTTGTTGTTGTTTAAGTCGCTAATTGTTTGTAACGTTATTAGACTGCTTGCTTTTTTTTTGGTACTAGTGCATATATATAAAAATCGCAAAATCGCAATAAACGTGCTCAACTTTCTTAGGTTAAACAGTTTCGAAAGTATCGAAAAAGTTCAAGAAACTATTAAAGAAATGGCACGCAAAATTTTGAATCAACTTCATAGACATGCATTTATACATAGTATTTAGAGTAAACGAAAATTAAACGACGACAAGTACTTTCAATACAATTTTTTTCTCAAACAATAACAAGAACTAAATAAAATATGTAGTTTGAAACGTCATTTACATACGAAATGTTGAAAAGAAAGGTAATTCAAACAAAAAGAAAAAAGTAAGAGACGAAACGAAGAAATACGTTCAATGGGCATGTAATCGATTATGAAGACAATAACCATACACAGACACACATCAAGAAGTAGTAGTTAGAATGAAAATAATTTTATGTTTGTAAGTTTTGAAAAATTGAACAATTGCGCGCAATTTTTCCAGAAAACAAACATTGAAAAGGAAATCGAATTTATTACTTACCACATCCACACATTTACTTATTTACATTTTACAGTTTCATGAAATCTGGCAATCAAATTACTTTTACTATAAAATAGAATTAAAATACTTATTATACTAAACTTTACAAAGGCTTTAAGAATTGTGAAAATAAAAACTACTTTTTTTTTATTTCCTAATTAAAACACAGTATCTTAGTTTTTATATATTTAACAACACCTTCGGCACAAAAAAGAAAATTTGTGCAAAGACAACTGTGGCAGCAGGGATTTTACTGCTTAACTTTTTGTGATATACGTTTTTATGAAAATGAGAGAAAATTCGAAACTAGTGGCGCTTAATATGAGTGCAGTTTGATAAGTCAGTGACTTTTTGAATTTCCCGCTTAGTAACTCTAAATGCAGCATTGCTTCTGTCAACTACTATCTCATCATAGGCTACTATCAAAGCTGACACTCTATGGCACGCAGTTTGTATTGTATTGAAATCAGACAACACCATAAATTTTTACCAAAATGTATGCGTAAAAAACTACCAGCGAAATCAAGAAAAGGTTTAATAACAACTATGGGGCTCGGTATTATTAATTTCAATGGTTAAGAGGTGGTCTTCTGAAATTCATTATTATGGTACCAGCATTAGTGACTCTGAACTTTTGCGTCCCGCGAAAGAGGTCGCCACGCCAGAAATTGTCGTTAAAATCCATAAAATAATATTGGGTGATCGGAGGTTGAGGCTGTAGGCATCTCCACTGAGCGCGTACATATAATTGTACATGAATTTTTGGGTATGGAAAAGCTGTCTGCGCGATGATGGCAACATGGCGGGATTAGGGATGTTCCGATACAACTAAATACGAGTACGTACTCGATATCTACTTGGTATCGAAAGAAAAGTACTTGTATCGACTATATTTGAGCAAGTGCCATATCTTGTTGGGCATATTTTTTCCATGGAAAATAATTGCTTTAAGCAATGGGTTTTTAATAGAGTAATGGAATGGATTAATCGTATTACATCTAGTGTTACTAGTGAACAAATATACATATCGATACCTCAACTGAAAATACATTGAGAATATTTTAAATAGGGCGTTTTTGAACCGAGCACTGAAATAGGGTGTTCTTGAGAAGTTTTCTGAGGTAGGACGTTTTTCATAAACAATTTTGAAATAGGGCGCTGAAATAGGAAGCAAAAACGATCTCCTACCTAGACAACGCAAGGATGTACAATAGACCGTGCCACCTTATAAGCAAACAAAGAAAGTTCACCGTACATCCCTGCAGGCGAATTTCGAAATTTACTGTTTTTTTGGGTCGCCTTTTTAAATTTATTGGTGATACATATATTCGGAAAATAATTTTTTTAAATAGTTCTACTGGAATAAACAAAATACTTTTTCTTAGTTCAATGATTTTTAGGGAAAAGAGCATTGATAAATCATAAGCCGAGAATATAACAAAAACTATAAAAAAGGCGACTTCTATGTTCGACTCAAAACATGTCTTTTTTCGAAATCGCCATGCAAAAAAACTTTAGACTCAGGAGTGTACGGCGAAATTCATGAATTTGAAGTCACGAACTAATTCCTAATTAAGCATGTTCTGCAGATTTAGCTCCCTACACATATTTTCTGCTGCCAAACTTGCAAAAGTGCTATGTGTTAAGAGATGTGTGTGACAGGATGGGGCATCACTAAACTGTTGCCTATATTGTGGAACCTGAGGAAACCTATCATTAGGATGGGATACAAAAATTGAATACACGCTGGGTAAAGTGTGTCGAGCCGAACGAAATAAAATGATTTTCTGCTCCAAAATATATTCTATTCAAAAAATTACTGATTTATTTATCAAACAGCACTCGTAAGTAAAATTTCATGGCGTAAAATCTCTAAAATCGTATTTAGATCTTCCAATGCTTTCATGTGAGCTTTTGAGCGACTACTTCTAAATATTTGCTAAAAGTGTACTATCAGTAAATACTCTTGTTTGAGCTTTAGGGAGCTTAGTTTCAGGTCTCTCAGAAAAACTTATATAGCTTATATTACATTTACATTGGACCAAAATGCGTGATTTGAAATCAGTCATTTGAAGGTGTTTACACTGCTTGATCCGCATTTGCTTTGACTTCTCATCAAATGAAAAGGGAAGACAAAAACAAAATGTATGTAAACAAACACTACATTTATTATATTGTTAACGCTTTTTGGACACAAAAAGGCAATTATTCTTTGATTAAACTAAAAATGTGTAAAGCTCTTGTATAAATTAACAATTTTTACACACAAATTTCAAAGATTTATTTATTTCGTTGTGTTTGTTTTGTGTTTGAAAAATTCCAAATGTCAAAGACAAACCAAAGCTTTTGTGGAACTTTTGTTTCTGAGTGCGTTCAATAAAATAGTACGGCAATTGGAACGCATTTGTTTCGTGATTTTGTGTAAATGCGTCGAAATGCGTCATTCTGGAAATGTGAATTTGTATGGAGAAATGCGTGATTTGGCTTCGCATTTGAGGTTTCTCGCCCAAATGATGCATTTGGGCTCAATGTAAATGTAATATTAAATTGTATAATTATAAACGAAAGTATGCAAGAGAAACGAGCTTCTATCACACCCCTGTCAAAATCTATAGAAATATTAAAAAAAGTTTAGCTCGCGTGCTCATTAAGTGACTAACTCTGTTCTAAAATAAAAACTTAAAAGTTTACCGTACTTCGTGATTTAAAGACTTGTGAGTGCGAGTATATTTTACGTCCTACCAGCTAAATTTGAAAGAAAATTTGTTAAATTACCAATTGTGTTTCATCTGTGTTTCTCGCTTTAAACTTCAAACAGGAATATGAAAAAGATGCAAACTTTATACTGATAATATTAATCAGAGCTGGTCACATACGTACCGCCCTTTTTAAGCTTTCTTTAGACTTGGGCAGCGTAAAAGCGCTTACGTCAACTCTAAATGGTAAATGCTGGCACTAATGGTATTCCTTGCCGGTTTTTACAGGCTTTTGTGATAGAATGGAATATTTCTAATATGAACATGTCGTGCTTTTTTAAGCTTTATATCCATTTCTGCCCAACAATGTTTCGCAAGGATCTTGATCAAAGCTTTGATTTAAGTTTTTGCAAGCTTCTTGTTTCGACCTTTTCAAGATCAAAGACAATAAAGCCATGTTATGTAGCTAGGATACAAATATCAATAGAGAGAGAGAGAGAGCAAGAATATTTAGAAGGGAAGGATTTTGCGGCTTACACTGTTTAAAAGGGTTTTTAAGACGAG